TATAATAACTGCCCTGTGTCGCGTTAAGAGGTCAACGCATTTAAAACAGCATCCAGCCTGAACAGCATCATTGTTCAGCAGCACCATGCCCTTGCTTGGGCTGGACTCAACAGGGCGTGGGCCTCAAACGGAGAATGCGCAAATCGGTGACACTCAGACCAAACGTTTGGTGGTGTTTTATTACATGTCCTGCTTATGGTGTTCAGCAAATGTTCCGTGTGTGTGTGAAGAAAACAGGCCGTCACCATCGTGTCATCACAGCAGCGCTGTTTGAAAAAGCTGCATCCCAGCCTGGAGGGGCACAGAGCGGCACCAGCAGGCCTAAAATACAGGCTCTGAGGTTGTTGTTGTTGTTGTTGTTGTTTTTATTATTAATATTATTACTATCGTTGCAATCGCTTTGCTACGAATGAGACTGTGGTGTTGTCTACCGCGCCTCTGCTTCGTTCCCCTCCCTCCCTAGCCGTGCGCATCCTCCGCCATCATCCCTCCGCGCGCCGCTCTTCATGCAGAAGCGCTTACCTGCAGCCAGGCGGGGAGAGGGAATGGAAGGTGGATAGAGAGAACATCTCAGCTCTGTCCGCCATCTTCTTACAACAAGTGACTCAGAGAGACAGACTGCAGAATCAGACGGAGGGAGCGCAGTCCATCAACAGACACGGAGCAGAGGACGGATGGACGCTCGGTGGCGCGTGCGTCTCTCTCTCTCTCTCTCTCTCTCTCTCTCTCTCTTTCTCTCTCGCTCTCTATCTCTGCGGCCCCACGAATGTCCGCCTGGCCGGAAGCCTTCAATCAGACGAGCCGGCTCAGCACCAGCAGATGTGCAGTGAAGCCATCCGAACGAGCAGGCAGCGATAATCCCCCTCAGCTTTTCCCACGCGTTACGGTTTTTTTTTTTTTTTTTTTTTGTCTCGGTATTTTGGTGGGCCGCAGTCCGTGATCTGCTCTGTAAATGTCTGCTGCCTCCGTGATGCTGCCTGTGACACACAGCAGCAGCGGGCCAGCAGTGCGGAGACAGGAGGAGGGAGGAGGAGATCACATGACGTCACCGTTGATGCTGTGTGAGCAGGTTGTCCTCAACCGATGAGCGAAGGAGCCAATAAGCAGCTGCATTTCACACAAATAAGTCATATCTTCAAACATATTTATAAGACTTTTATTCTCTTTAAATTACTTACATGTATTTACAACAAATTCCCTACTTTTGTTTATTTTTTATTCACCCTGCTCATTCAAACTTCCCCACCAAGTAACCATAGAAATAACAACAAATAATTAGATAATTTAAATGCTTACTGCTGAAAAATCTTTGCAGAGAAAAAATATGTACAAAAATTGTGTCACTTGTTGTAAAATGAGCAGGAAAAATAAAGCTGAATTTAGCATAAAWAAGTGAAAGAGTTTGCTGGATTAAGCAGAAAAAAAGCAGAAATGATCAAAAAAGTGGATTTAACGGATAAAAAAATAAGGTAGCTAAAATAGAAAAAAGGCTTAGATGCCAGAAAACAGCTGAAAAATGCATAAAAGACTTAAAATAGCAGAAAGAAGATGAAATAAGTGCAAAAAAATAAATCAGCAGAATATCTTAAAAGAGCAGAAGGATAGCTGGCAAAGCAGGAAATGCTAAACTCAGCTGAAATAGCAAAAAAAAGTAGCTTAAATGGCAAAACAGCTGAAAACATAAAAAGCTTAAAATAGCAGAAAAAACAGATAGAAAAAAGCTAAAATTAGAAAAAAAAGAAGGCATGTAAAATTAGCACAAAGAAGTTAAAAAGAAATAGGACAAAAGGTGCAAATTTATGAGTTTTATGGACGTTGACTGGAGCTTCATGCATTTTCAATGCAAAATAAAAGGCTGGAAAGACTAAATAAAAAAGTATAAATTGCTGAAAAATTAAATGTCATAGCCGGAACGCAGAACGAGATGTGCGCCAAAAAGTGTAAGAAATAAAAAGGATCGTGGAAACTGTGAATGTTTTATTACATTGACTCAATTAAAAAAAAAAAACACTAAAATCACTGAGATGTAGCAGGATGGTGCACAGACTTTTTTTTTACAGTAACTACTTTTAGGACTCTTGACTTAAACACCTCATCAGTTCAGGTTAAATATTGAAGTCAAATAAACATTTTTGTCAACACAGATTAGCACAGGTCAGAGGTCGCAGCTGTCAGTGTTTCAGCTATTTACTGCTTGTGGTGCTGAAACCTGTCATCCATCTGCAGTAAACCATTTCACCCACACGGTGGCGGTAAATATTCAACCATTTAGTGAGACTTCCTGTATTTGGCACAATTCTTTCTTTCTTTCTTTCTTTCTTTCTTTCTTTCTTTCTTTCTTTCTTTCTTTCTTTCTTTCTTTCTTTCTTTCTTTCAAATATGTAACTCATTTGGTTTATTTTGCCTGCAAGCAGGTGCTTGATTGATTGTTGTTTTCTTGATTGCTCTTGTGTGTTGTGTGTGTGGGCGGGTGTTTTTGGTGACATTTGGGGGCAATTTTAAGACAAAAATCCTACATTTGGGGACCTAAGTCGAGTCCCCATTTGGTTTCAATGTCATTGGTGGGCTGGGGGTTGGGTTTAGGACCAAGGTGTGAACTGAGTTTAGGTTAGTTGTAGGGTCAGGTAGGGACCTGTGAGGTTAACCTTAGGTCAGGGTTAGGATATAAAATTAAAAAAAAAAAAATGAATGGAAGTCAATGGAAAGTCCCCACAAGGATAAAGAGACGTAGTTGGTGTGTGTGTGTGTGTGTGCGTGCGTGCGTGCGTGCGTGCATGTGTGTGGTGTGTGTGTGTTAGCTTAATATTATCAGTTACTTATTTAATATATTATCTTAAGTTTTATTTTACCCTTTTTTTCCAGAGTGCCTGTAAAGTATAGCTGATTAAGTTAAAGCTTAATAAGCAGCTTAATTGTATTAAGGTGTAAATTTGCATTGATACGCATTACATTATTATTACATTATAGTAATATAGATCATTGTAAATTTGTACTTATTTAGCATTTTTTGGCAGAAAATCTGCATCAACTTTATGTCTCTTTATTTGTATTCACAATAATTTCAGTGTCGAGCTGAAGAGGCAATATAAATGGGCACTTTAACTAAAAGACACTATGCATTTCTGTCAATTATATTTTTTATTTGTGTGAAATGGAAACAGTTACAATAAAATTTCTGGACAGATGGGGAATGTAGCAAGACAATTACAAAACTTGAGACACTCTTTGTTCTAAAAGCTATCTAGTTTCTCGCAGTTTTCATTGTATTTGTGTGATTCTGAACTCTGATAAACCTTTGAATTTATTCTCAAGAACAGTTAATAGGATAGGGCATGACATACACACAGATATGAACCAATGAAATTGTTTATTTTCATGGCACCAGCAGGAAATGATGTTAAACCGTCCTCCTTTATTGCTTCTTCACTTCAACGGGAATAGGACCCAAAGTGACTTGACCTTCCCATTCTGGAACTGAGGAAAGAAAAGGACAGCAGTCACATCACTGTTTGTCTGACAACACAGCCTAACATTTTGTCAGTCTGGGTGTAAATAAGTTGTTGTAGACTTTTAACTAAAAAAAAAGATTTTTACATGACGTACTTTCAGTTTCGTGCAGACTGCGCAGTTTCCTTACAGACCCCTTAGGGTATGAATAGGGTGGGAGGATGGGAGCTGCTGGATGTGTTCCTGTACCAACTGGGGCGCTTGGTACAACTGATGGAATGGTGAATGCCACAAAATTACCAGTCTCACAGGAGGCACAAGCTCCATCACTTCCACTGGCCTCTGTCCATCTACAAAAAGAAATGATGGTGGTAAATCATTGCCTCTGTGATCGTTACAGTTTATATACAGATAAAGTTACAAACTCACGCGTAGTTAAGGTAAGAGCAAGCTCTATGTTCGTTGTCAATGGCGTGAGAAGTGGATGTGGCAACCAAGTTGCAGGTAATGTAAATCTGTTTAAACCAGATGAGTGTTGGGTTTATTGTTGCTATAAAGTATCAAAAACAGGATTAGCTCTGGCATTCTCTCTGTGGTGTTTACCTCTCCAGTGGCAGCGCCATCGAACCTGAAGGCCTCCAACTGGAACTCAAGTTTATTCTCAACAGTGCGATGCATGAACTGGGATTTGGAGCCTGTGACTCTGGCGTCAATGAAACACCTGCCCACAGGCAAAACAAACCAACAGAGTTGCATATTTATTTGAAAAATACACACAAAAAACACAATCATTGGCTTGTTTGCCAGCTTTACCCGTGGTTGTCAATGAAGGCATAGTTGGGGACGGAGGTTACGTCAGGTGTAAGAGTAGCCACACATCTGTCAATGTAAACACGCAGTGGTACGTGGAAGTACTGCTTGACGGTAGCCTCTATACGGATCAGATCTCCAAGGAAATACTGGTGGCTGGGTCTCTCATACAACCAGTCATCTGTGCAATGATATGCAAAAAATTTCAACTCATGAAACTGAACACAGTTTGTAACGCCTAAAGCAAAATTATTCGATTTTGTTTCAAGTGATTGAGAGCCAAAACAATTCTGAAACAAATGTTACAAACGGGGGTTATCTGCAGAAATCATCGAAAACATGTCGTGGTGGTGTGCAGTTTAGTTGAGTTTTTACTTGTGAATTTTATGATTAAACCACTAGATGTCCACCTTATTTTTTTTTCTTTGTTTCCAGCTTCTCTCATATCACCTGTATTGTCATTTGTCATCAGTAAATATGTTTTCCCTGGACATCCTTCTTTGTTGAATCAATTGTTTTTCTTTCATGTTTCTAACTGTTTTCTTCTGTTTGCTGTACAAAATAAATATTTGATCAATCATTGTGCTTTTACCAGTCATAAGTTTCAGAGTGAAGTACAAGAACTCCTCAGCCATCTTCACTTGGGAATAGGGCACCCAGGTGGGATTAATGGGACCGCTGCTCACATTGAAGTTTCTGAGCAAAATAACATTTTTTCAATTAGAATGAGTTCAGCCGTAATCCTTATTTGAATAACACATACGCTCCATCAGAAAATAAAGTACAGATTTATTATTAATATATACATAAGTTTTGGGTCAAATTGTTTCTTTACATACCTTGGGTAGTGGCACTCCACAATAACTGCAGCTGGGTTGGTCCTCACAACAGGAGCACTTCCCAGAGGTTTTGGATTGTAGTTCAAAACAAAGGTGTAGATGAGGGCAATATCTGTCATCTAAACATACATAAAACATGTTTAAACTTATGAATGAACATATGTGTTTATTTCTTACAAGGCTTTTAAAAAATGCTTTCACTCGGTGGTGTTTGACATTGTTTTTACCGCCAAGACGCTGCCGCATTCTTGCAATTCAGCTTCAAAAATGTACACTTGAGAATTGATGTCCTCTCCTGTAGGGGCACAGAGACCCAGGGTGATGTCAGCTGGACTGATTAACTGGCCGATCCCGAAAAAGTCCTTCTTGACCTCCACGTGAGCTATATCCTCTCTGCACATGACAGCAACAGTTGCAGCAGGAACTGGGTATCTCAGTTCGAATGGCACAACAGGCTGGGTTTCAGGCGGGGGCTCTGCAGGGTATTTCCAGGTGAGTGGCGGTTCAAATGCTTGCTGTTGCTGTTGGGGCGATTGTACTGGAGGCAGTGAAGGCACTTGAGGCGCTTGAGGCGCTTGAGGTGGTGAGTATGGGGGTCTTTTACTCAACTGGGCCTCACATAAGCTGCCAATCAAGGCCAGCACCACAATGCAAACAGCAGCCAACTTCATCATTATGGCTTCACAACCACAAGTGATCGGACAAGTTCACTGGGTGCTGTAGGGAATGGGGAAATGTGGACCCTCTTTTATAATACACTGGACCTGTTTACTTAGGTCACTTTCCCGCCCCCTAAACTGACCATTCCCTGATATCGCGACCAATGAGATAAAACCTCAGCCCATTAAATGAATGTAGCTCTCAAATTAAACACAATAACCCTCAAATCCAAAATATGAATTCTCTTGGCATTCAATTATTTTTTTTCTTCAAGCTCATTTACCTCAAATTAATCATGAAGATATACTAATACTTGGCAGGATATTCAGACAAAGTAGGTCACAAAAAGTCATGCTGACCCTGGGTTAGGCCTACCTGCCCCAAACAAAGTAACTCAGTGTGTGTTGCCAAAGTACATTCTGTGAAGTCGAATCAATATGCTCTCAAATAATGTCCGTCACAAAATGTGTTTTTTCACCTGCTCTGAGTTAAGGCAACCCTGTTACTAAAAAGTTTAAATAAATGAACGAAAGATGTTCTTGAGAGACTAAAAAATTACAACCTGCAACATGAAAAAAGTCTCAATCCCATTCATTTTTTAAATAATCAAAATTTGGCAGCATTGTGGTTGCTTCAGGAAGGACTACAATAATTGTCAAATCCTTATGAGTTTAAAAATAAATTCCCATCACCCATGTCATTTTCCCCTTTTTTTAAATAAAATTATGTCCTGTGGCTTTTATTGTTTACTATAAATGTTATTAGTTTTAGATGTTGGACAGTTCTGGAAAAATTAGACCCCCAATCAGAACTTCAAATCTGTTTAATAAACAGTGCCTCCATTCTCTTTGGGTCTAACTGCTTTTTATCAAATAACTTTTAGTTATTTCACCTGACTGGAATTTCTTGTCACTTTACTATAAATATACATAACAAATATGCACAGTATACAAAAAACTATTCAATGTTAAATTAGAGCATGAGCACATGGCTTGAATATTTCTAATAAACTGGTTCATGTTCTGATTTTTCTTCATTCAATTTTTTTAATAAGGGTGAGGTTAGGCTAAAGCAATTTTGCACAAATTCTTATTATTTGCACAAATACCACCACTCAAAACCTTTTAGTCTTCAAATAACATTCATCTAGTCACACACACACACACACACACACACACACACACACACACACACACACACAATGTTGGTCTTGCAGTCCTTATGAGGATTTACATTGACTCCTTTCATTCACCAGTCACTTCTACAGCCTAACCCTAAATCCTTGTGAGCAGAGTTGTAAAGTAACTAAGTACAAATACTTTCTTACTGTACTTCAGTAGAAAGTTTGGCTATTTGTACTTTACTTGAGTAATTATTTTTAGCCTTCTTTGTACTTCTATTCATTACATCTTTTCACAGTTATCTGTACTTTATACTCCTTGCATTTTATAAAAAGGTAAAAAGTAGAAAGTCCTTACTCCTATTTCATTCCGACTTGTTGTAGTTGTTGTTAAAAAAAATACTATCCTGAAAAACTGCACCTCCAGAATCAAGTGAATTTAATTGTGGTTGGATGAGAAGTATAAATAGCTATATAATTCTGACACCATATTTGTTTATACACAATCCATCACAGCTGCACATGACACAAATCATGTCACACACAGCAGGACAGAGCCCTGTATGCAAACTAAAACAAAGATGTATGTGCCATATACAGCTGAGAAAGGTAGACTAACGCATCCTAAATATTTTAACATTATCATTTTAATATGACATTATAGTCATTTCAGCCTTTAGAAAAATTATCTTTGTGGAGGTCATCTCCCAATAAATGTCATTATGGAAAATCTAACTGCACGTTTTCACGCAATACTTTTATTTTTGATACTTAAATACATTTTATGTTTAAAACTTAGTTACAAAATATCTTACTGTAAGACTTACTCAAGTGATATTCTTAAAGAAGATTTTAACGTTTACCAAAGTAATTTTATGGCAAGATACTTCACTCAAATGTCACTTTGAGGTACTTTATACAACACTGCTTGTGAGGACTATTTGCAAAATGTTCTCACAAACCTAGTAGGCGGTCAAAATATGTTTTCACAAAGATATACAGTATAGATCCACAGTATAATTTTTTACAAATTTTTTTGTATTTAATTTGGGTTTACAACTAACCAGAAGATTTGTTTGTAATATCCAAAATAAATCGTCATAATAGGCAAAAAAAACATGGTAATAATATGCACTTATTGATTTTAGATGTTTTTAACAGGGCCTAAAATTAACCCTTTTCCCAGCTATGACTGTTGCTGTTATTAACATAACTTTATTTGTTCTTTTGTTTTATTTTTTCTTTATTTATTTATTCATTTTACCAATTTCATTATTTACTGTGTTTGAGGCATTGTAGCCCAG